TAACTTCGTCCACAACTGTTTAGCAACCGTAAAACTGTCTGCGAAATCTTTTATGTATATACAGCTGGAGATGTGGTAAATAAAATTGCGAGCTATAAAAACATGAAGTACGTACTTTCCCCCTGAAATATTAGTACATTTGGATTAGGTTATATAGTTTGAAAATATATGTGGTAGTACTAATATTATAAAACACTAAGAATAGCTCTATATTGCAGTGTCCAATTATCGCATAGGTCTGACAACGGATGGGTGACCAATCTTTTATCACATGTTTTGAAACTGTGGTCGTTTCTATAAATAACGACACGGTAGGGATGGAGATATATTAAATTGTGACGTCAAAGTTTAGTTAGCCATTAGCATCGCACAGGATAAGGATAGAAAGTTCTCGATAAAATCCTGTAAAACAACCTTTAAGCGAATAATAATAATAACTAAACTACTTGGATGAATAAAAAAGAGGCTAATTTTTATTCATCATCATCAGCCGTTTATGTCCTTATGGATGGTTAAGGAGGATGGGCCGTGACCCTTCACGTTAGCCCAATGCGGATTGGAGGGTATTAACGACATCGGCATATACAGTCGGGACCATCGGCTTCACGTGCCTTGACCATCGTGAAAGTGGTAGTCTGGGTAATTGCTAGCTAAATTTGAACAATTCCCGGTTTTCAATTGAAATGAAATTTTGCATATACATATTAACTTTGATGAAACTGCAAAATTAATTTGTTCCAGTGATGGAGCCGGAAGGTAACAATGGAAACTTTCTAATTCAATAACGTAACTCTGTTTAGTTTGAGCGAATTTGCTTTATCCACAAAAAACTTCTGGATCAACAAAAGCTTATTTAAAAAAATCGTTTTTTGTAATATTTATATATTAGAGAAGCTCGGTAACGGAGTAGACAAGCGCCGTGGCCAGCGTTCGTTGTTGTTAAGCTACCTTTGAAAGGGTCGGTCACGGGATGGGTGAAAAAAGAATTATTTTCTCGAGCTACTCCTTACTTCGGAAGGCGCATTAAGCCGTTGGTCCCGGCTGCATTTGCAGTTGTTAATACCCTCCAATGCGCATTGGCCCAGGGTCATGGTCTATCCTCCTTCACCATCCCACAAGGAAGGTCTGAGCCCCTGCAGTGGGGACATGATGATGCTGATGAATATTTATACGCAATATTAACACTATCTATTTATGTAAACAGATCTTCGTTACAAAGATCTCGAGTTATCTGTTACATATAATATGGCAACACTGTTAAATTTTATGTAGGTAACTATCTATAAATAATGAAATAGTAGACCGGTTAGTGTACCTTCGTAGATTAAAATCCTGACTATCAGCCTGAATCCCTCAGTATATTTTAATGAGACTCATAAACATGCTTTATAAATAGTGGGACACATCGAGCGTTGCTCGGAGTCCGGATAAGTCCAGATCAAAGGGTTTTTAGTTACGCGAGCGACCTAATTAGGTCATTTCCGGCTTCTAACTGTAAAATTTGAGTACTCCTTAGTACATATAGTTTGTATCCAGAACTATATGTCAGTGTATTTTGTTCAAAGTTTTGTATTTGGTATATCTATCATCCTTTATACGTTCATATTACTCAAATATATTTATTCAAACTCTGCGTAGGTATATTTCATTATTTTTTTGACCCATAATAATAATTTCATGTTATCAACGGTACTTTTTTGGCTGTATAATCACGTTCTCTTTGTCAAACGAGGACCGATGGATACTGATGAATATTCTTTTATTTGAGAGGATACAGTCAGCAGTTTTATGAAGACTTGAAAAATTCAATTTACGTCTCCTTGATAACTAAAAATAGAAAAAGTTTTTTTTTAATAAAACCTTCTTCAATACAACATAAAATCTAGGCCTTTAAAAATAAATATCTAGAATTTAAAGTAATTAAATTAAGCGTTGTAAGAAACTAATTAGCGTAATTTGTCGCATAATTAATGAAAAGGTGTAACTAAAGTAAAACTTACACGATTGAAACTTAATTGTTCGAAGTGATGGATTAACATTTTGAACTATTATATATCTGATATAGAAGAGACTTTTCATAAGCTATAATTCAAGCGGGCGAAGTCTCGAAACACGACTAGGTTGTATATAATTAGTACAATGAGAGTTGAAGAATTTAGTATATCTTCTTCTTCTTGTTGTACGCTTCTGTCACCTGGATAGTGTTTTAGCATTTTATAGATACGCTTAATACCAAACTGTCGAAACCAAATTATTTGCATATCCACTAAAGTCTGGTCCTCAGACACGATTAATATAATAAGACACATAGGTAACCAAGGGCAAGCCCTAGTTCAAGAACTTAAATATACTAACCTCACCTATTCTTATTAGATTACATAGACAAGGCTAGAATCCCTTTGTATCCGTCCATCTTAATTATTCCTCCTTGCATACTACGTACTGATGAAATTTGTCACTGCACAATAGTTATTAATTATAGTACAAGGATATTATAACACAGTTCTCGGTTATTGTAATACAGGAATTCAATGCCGCAGTGGAAAGTGCGTTCCATCGGCGATGTTGAAATTAAGCAACTTCAATTATAAGAAGGATGATCAAATTTATTATCTCGAGCTCCTAATCAATTAAGCCGTTGGCCGCGTCCACGTCTGCAGTCGTTAGCAACCGCCTATCAGCGTCAGCACTACGCGCGTATGATAGATGATGGCTTTGTTCTGTCTCTTTTCTTCTTCCCACTCAGGAGAGACCTCCAATCAGACTTTTTTTTATGGGATAGGGGGCAGACGAGCAGATGTATCACCTGATGGTAAGTGATTACCGTCGCCCATGGACACCTGGAACACCAGAGGGGCTACAAGCGCGCTGCCGGCCTTGGAGGGAAGGGTTGAGGGGTAGAGGGAAGGGAATAGGGAGGGGTTGGGTCTCCGGTACCCTCACTCACACGACGAAACACAGCGCAAGCGTTGCTTCACGTCGGTTTTCTGTGAGGCCGTGTCTCACAGAAAACAGACTCCGGTCGAGCCGGCCCATTCATGCCGAAGCGTGGCTCTCCCACAGACTCCTCCATCTCTGCCAGACGTCACGTCTGGTTCTGTTTCTGCGCCTTTTGAGCTGGTATTTAAGAAATTCGTCAGACTCCTTATGTCTCGGATAGCTCAATTGGTTACAGCAATCGCCCGGATTGCGAGCAAATGACCAAACGGCCATTTTGAGTGCCTGGGATTGATGAAATTTTTATGCGTTTTTCTTAAAATATATATATACACCATATAGTACACCATAATCTAATTTTAAATTCAGTCAGTGTTATTACAAAAAAGATAAACACGCGTTGAACACGTGTTTAAAAAAAATTCTATTACAAAATCGTATTTAGGCATTGGTTAAGGCTAAACATCCCTTAAACATTGTTTAAAATATAAACACTCGTTGAGAGTTGTTTAACGCGTGTCTAACCACAAAATAGGTTGCGTTTTGTTGAAAATTCATCAATGTTCTTAAAATAAAGATTATATTGATATGGTCGATTTAGATTACATGGAAAGCTTTCAGGACGCGTAAGTAAACCGAACGCGAATTAATCCATTTGAACAATACAATGAACTTTGATATAAAAGAAAGTACATATTTAGTGGATTGTTTGCTGACAAAATATATGAAATTATTTAAGACGATATTCCACATAATCCTCGAGATGAAAGTATAGATCTGCAAATAAATACACGTAGCATGTGCATGTGTGCATAGCTTCTGTGTCTGTTCACAGCTTGTGAACATGTGCGGCGTTGGGTTCGGCATCAGGTAGTCGTTGTTCCGTTTCTTCATATTATTTCGCTATAGTTTTACTTAACCTTACTCTAATATGAATTATGAATAGAAGTGTCAGTTTAAAAACGTTAATTTTGTACTTTCTTTTTTATTTTTGAAAGTTATTAGGTAATACGTTATTGAACATATCTTTTTACGATTAGAATTTGTCATAAGTCTGTATACAATGTGCATATAATGGAACGTGTATGAACGAATGAAAGCCAACTGAACGAATGTTTTACGGGTTGCATGTTTAAATCAGCGTTAGTTAGACTACGACTAAAAATGGATTTGTAATAGACAAAGTTAAACATCATTTTAAACAGGGTTTATATTCTTAGACATTGTTTACTTAAACACATGGTAAAACCCTGTCTAACATCTCCTTTGTAATAACACTGAGTTTGTTTTAATTTTATCTGTATTTTTTAATGATGGCCACAAAAAAATACGCATGTCTTCACGTCAGGTTACAACAATACGTCATTTTTTTCAGTTGATCTTAAACGCTTACCTCAAAATATGTTAAAAGCAAGTGGGGAAATTTGACAAATATGTAAAACCTGATATTCTGTTGACTGTGTCAATTTGTAATAGTTTAAAAGAAAGAAAAATTGTTAATCCAGCATCGTTTACCACAAAATAGGGATCGAAGGAATATAACTATACTCCTGTTCAAGTAAAATGTAGGTAATAGATTCGCATCTGCATTAGTATTTGCACTCGCATTCTCATAGTTTTGAATATTTACACTCGCATACGCAAAGTTTGTGCGTATATGAATATCAGAAATAAATATATATTTGGAGGTATTTTTATTGCTAAATAAAATAAAAAAAACATTAATTTCTTTTTTTTTAGTATTAGAAAACGAATCGTATTATCTATCATCACCTCATTGTATTATTAACTTCTATTTTGGTTAATAGAATTTAAGATTCAGATTTAAAAATGAAGTTAATAGGCGTGAAACGAATAGTTAAAATTTTAAACTCCTGTAATTTTTAAGGAAAAAGTGTATATTTCTTTTTTTTTTATAAATTTTATGCACTAATGTACTGAATAACTTACTGCCTCTGCCATGTAGTGTTATTCTTTCAAACTTTCTCCAACTTCACAAGTAAATTAACTTTCATTGACATATTGCTATTAAAATAGAATCCATCAAGCAAACATCTAGTGAAATGCTATCCACATTTAACCACCGCATGAAAAGTTTTGAGAGTCAACTACAGAAGACATCTCCAACCACTGATACTGATGCACTGGCTGCTGATTTTGTCGCCTTTAAACAGTTTATATGTACTACCCTGCGTACTATGCAATATCAAATTGAATGGGTTGCCAGGGAGGTTGATAGAATTGAGATGCGGGGACGTCAAAAAATACTTCTGTTGCATGGTGTTGGTGAGATGCCAGGTGAGGAAACAACATCAGTTGTTGCAAAAACTGTGGCTTAATATCTCAAGCAATCAACTTTCACTGTTGACAACATAAGCCGCTATCACCGGATGGGTCGAGCAGGCTCTGGCCGACCACGACCAATTCTCTTTAAGGTCCGCGATGTTAATATGCGTGATGAGATCTGGGCGGCTAAAACTGGGTTGGAGGGCTCTGAAGTAACCCTGTCCGAATTTCTTACAAAAGCGCGTCATTCTGTATTTATGGAAGCTCGTCAGCGGCTGGGTGTCTCTAAATGTTGGACTAGGGAATGGCAGGTCTTTGTCCTTGGACCTAGTGGCACAAGGCATCGGGTCGAATGCAGTGAGGATCTTGGTGAAATTGTTTCTAAACAGTCGAAGCCTACACCTTTGGCAGTGGTGACCAAGGAGCCTGTTATTTCGCGAGCAAGACGTGGAGCAACATCTAAGAAATAGTTTAAGTATTTTGTTGTTTACTTTCTTCTTAGTTATAGTTTAAAGTCGGTCTTATAATGATAATTGTTGAAGTTTTGTGATTGTTTTATAAACTTATATTGACGTTTGTCAGATATTTGACATGCACGTCATTATGATGTCAACTTTCATGTTATTTTTTTTTGGTTCTGGACTTCGAACTATTTGCACTGTAAAATAGCACTGGCAGATGGGCAGTGGGCATATCTTTGTATTACCTTTAATTGTTTTGCTTTTTTTTGTATGTATCTTAAACGCACAATATATAATTAGTTTATGTCATTAAGCAGTGATGATGAAGAACTATTTTCATGTTCATTCTCTAGCAATAGTGACCAGGATAGTGTTCTTAGTTTACTTTCGCTTTCGCACACAATAAGCACGATCTTACGTGACGTTCCTAGTGACTTCAATGTTATGCACATAAATGCGCAGAGTATTCCGGCACACTTCACAGACATGCTAGACTCGTTTAATCAGAAAAATATCCATGCTATTTTAATTTCCGAATCATGGTTAAAGCCTTCTCTCCCTACTTCTTTGTACTCGTTACCGGGATTTCAATTTATTCAAAAGGATAGTATTGGGAGCGGTGGTGGTGGCGTTGCTATATACTTACGTTCCCATATTACTTTCTGCTTAGTGAGCACGTCAACTCAGCCGCCGCCGTCTAATGCTGGAGAACAACTTTTCATTGAAGTTTCCTTCTCTCATCATAAATTATTATTGGGTGTTTATTATAGCCCGTCACTTCGTATTAATTATTTTTCATCCTTAGAAAACCTTTTAGAAAATTTATGTCCTTCATACGCTCACACTATAGTTATGGGTGATTTTAATACTTGTTTGCTTAAAAATGACTTTCGTTCATCTTCTCTGAAATCTTTAATAAAAGCTTATAACCTGTCTATTCTTTTACTTAATGCAACTCATAACTATCCTAACTCCATGCCATCTCTTCTTGACCTGATAATAGTTTCAAACCTTTATTTAAATCTTAAAAAAAATTTGCCACTCTCATGTTTATTTGAAATGGCAGTTTTTGTAAAAAAATATTTCCATATGTTTAAACAAAACAAGGACTTTGTTTATAAAGGTAGAAAAGGAGATGATTTACGCATTCCTACTCAAAGACTTGTAATGACGTTAAAAAATGCGTACTGTATGGCAATCCGCATATACAATCATCTACCTAATCAGATAAACACTGACATTTACTAAATTCAGAAAGCATTTATTTGACTTTTTAATTGATAAATTATATTATACAATGAATGACTTCTTTAAAGATAAAAATGTATGACATATATTCGTAAATTTGTTTTTCTAGGTAACATTTTCATTGGCATTGACATTTTGGATAATTTTTTAATTATTTGATAAAGATGCTGACATTTTTTTATATCAATTTTATTCAATTTTTGTGACAATTTGTATTTTATTTCTTGAAATTATGTTGATACCTTTATATTTCTTTTTAAAAATGACTTGTAATATTTGCACGTCGTCCTGACAACAAAATATGTTGGGTATTCAAAAATTGATAACAACTTATAAAACCATATTTTTGCAAATAAAGATTTTATTATTGTTATTATTATTATCTCTTGATCATGTTAGCCAACATGGACAATGTGCAGCAGACGCCTTTTCATATCATGATATGATATATCTTTCGTACAAAATTCGTCCACCTAAAGCTAAGCCCAAAATTTTCCTGCAGCGTAATTTTCGGGGCATTGACTTGAATTCTTTACGTGAACATGTCCTAGAACTAGATTGGAATAATGTTATTAATGCCAGCACTATTGATGATAAAGTCTGTGAATTTAATGCAACTATGACGGCCCTTTACGATGAACATGCTCCTTTGCGACCGGTCAAAATGAAACACCGTCCGGCTCCGTGGCTAAGTGACGTCATCAAAGTTGCCATTGCCCAAAACTTGCAGCCAAGTATCGATACAAGCTCAAACCTAGCGATGAGAACAAACTGAAATATATTGAACGTCGTAATCACTCCAACAGGTTGTGTAGGGATGCACAACGCCGGTTCATTCATAGTACATTGGAAGATGTAGATCCATCTCGAGTTTGGAAATTTCTTCGGTTACTCGGAGTTGGGAAAGATCGTCAAAATAATTTTCCAAACAATCTTAGTATAGATCAATTAAATCAGCACTTCTCAAATGTGGTCACTTTTAATGGACCTACTAAATTTGCAACACTAGATTTTCTCTCTTCACTTCCCACTCCTGACTATTCTCCATTCTTTATAAAGAAATTCACTGATTGTGATGTTAAGAAAGGCATAGTGTGTATATCATCGAATGCTGTTGGAAGTGATAATATAGGGCGAAAAATGCTCATACCTATCCTTGATGAGTTAGTGCCTGTAATTCGGTACTTACTTAATTTTTCAGTCTCAAGCTGCGAATTCCCTACATTATGGAAGGAGGCACATGTAATACCATTACCTAAAAAATCTAATCCTTCCAACTTCTCTGACTTCCGTCCAATCTCTATTCTTTCTTTTCTATCTAAATTGCTTGAGCGACTTGTTCATCAGCAATTAATTTCATTTGTTTTAAAACACAACCTTCTTAATCCGGCTTTCGTCCCAGGCATAGTACTGCTTTTGCTCTTGTCAAGATTACCGACGACATCAGGCTTGGGATGGAGCAGACACAGCTGACTGTGTTATCATTATTAGATTTCAGTAATGCTTTCAACAATGTAGAGTTGGAAATCCTTCGCTCTCTTAACATATCTTCGACGGTGATTCCTTGGTTTCACAGTTATCTGCAGGGACGTCAGCAGCGTGTTCGCGTGAACGATACTTTCTCTTCGTGGTGTGATATCATGGCAGGCGTCCCGCAGGGTGGCGTACTATCTCCGTTACTCTTTTCTATTTTTATTAACTCAATTACCAATAATCTCTCTTCATCCTACCACCTGTATGCAGATGATCTGCAACTTTATACACAGACTCCACTTGAAACTTTGTCATTAGTTCTCGAAAGAACAAAATAATGATGCAAAATATATCTACATGGAGCGAACAATACGGTCTACAATTAAATGTCGCTTAAAACGCAAATCATCTTAATCGGTAGCTCAAGATTAACATCTAGGATTAATTGGTCTCAACTTCCTCAACTTTATTTACAAGGAAAACATATTGAGATCAGTGATACAGTTGAAGATTTGGGTGTTCTCATCTTGGGTACCTCAATTAGCAGAGACTAGTAGGAAAGTCTTCGCATCTGCTGCTTTTTTACGAAGATTGCGAAACTTTTTGCCGATTGCCACGAAAATTGCGCTTGCTAAATCACTTCTGCTTCCAATATTGGACTACGCTGATACGTGTTAACTTGACATTAATGAAGATCAGCTGGTTAATTTAGAACGTCTCCAAAATTACTGCATTCGTTTTATTCATGGCTTGCGTAAATACGATCATGTCTCTATTTACCGCAAAGAACTGAAATGGTTGCCCATTAGACTACGCTGGAATTCTCACATTCTACATCTTTTGTACAATATTTTGTTTATCCCTTATTATCCTCTTTACCTTAAAGAACGATTCGTGTTCCTTCATCTATCCAACTCCAAAGTTTTACGCTCATCTCAAACTCTTCTGCTTAACATGCCACATCATTCTTCTCAGTTTTATGATAAATCCTTTACAGTACAAGCCATTCGTCTGTGGAATGCGCTCCCTGTGTATATCAGACAAGCTAAAACTCCCAAATCTTTTAAAGCTATGATAGGGAATCACTATTTATCACTTGCTTATTAGTTTCTCCAATTTCTTCTCTATATACATATATATCTTCGTGAGTGTTTATGCACATGAAAAATTATTCATATTGTATTGTATTTATACTTGATTTCTAGTTTATATTATGTTCTTTATCTTTACTTCTCCTAAATTTTATATTTGCCACCTTAATTGTTTCTTCTATTAGTAAATTTAAGCTACCGTATATCTGTTTTTCATATACCACTGTCCATCCAAAGATTGCCTGGAAGAAATTGCTTTAAGCAATAAGGCCGCCCTTGTACTACCTTATATACTATTATTCCGACATAATTTTTGTAAAAAATGGTGTGTACAATAAAGAATTTTTGTATTTGTATTGTATTAATCGTTGATTAATTTCTCATTAGAATTAAGTTTTTAATGTTATATAATCATCATAGACGATTATGCAACGAAAAAAGTGCTTCCGCGAATATCGATAGTACATATTCGTATACGCATTCGCAATCTCAATGGTAAACGTCGCAAGTCGGACTATGATCTATACGGATCATAATCTATAATAACGGCAAAAATCACGTTTTTGCATGGGACTCCCATAAATATTTATCTTGTTCTGTTTTTTATTTAGTGTTATAGCGGGAACAAAACTAACCATATGTGAAAACTGACAAACGGTTCATGAAATATACAGAACGGATAGCGAAGTTTTAATAATAGGGTCCCCTTTCAAACTATTACGATTATTGTAAAAGTGCTGCATAATTCTCTTGGTTTGTAACAGAGGCAAATATATATATAAGGACGTCACTCATTTTTATCAATTTTTCCTATAAAAGATATTCAGCAATAAATAGATGGTGATTAACTCGTGATATTAAGATAAAATGACATTATGTTATCGTTCCTATAGATAAATTTTAATAATATACATGTTAATTGTGACATAAATCTTATAAAATTAATGTGGTTTTTTAAATTACAGCTTATATGGACATTATTTCTTTAAAGAAAAGAAGTTGAATGTTAGTGATTAAAAGGGGAATGCGCGCCCTTTTTCTAACTGATTTTATCTAGGAGCAACTTTATCTAAGATACTTGTACACGAACTGCGGTTTTTAAAATTACTCATATTATATTAACTTCAAAGTTTAAAATTCAAAAATTAAATCCACATCACTTAATTGGATTTAGTTGTCTGCGTTGTGTGTAACTGA